GCGACAACAACTGTGCAACCTCGTTAGAAGGGATTCAGGATGAGGACGTAGCCATTTTAATCGATTGTATCGAACAGCTTGAGACTACTAATGTTGAATCTCCTCATACGAGTACCAGCGCTAATAATAGTGATAACGTTATGACCCACGCAGATGCAGTTACTAATCATGACAACACTACAGTCTTGTTAGAAGGATGTGGTTGGATGTGGGATGAATTTCTTTTATTACCACAGCGATCTTCATTGAAAGCAAAACAGGACAATGAAAATATAATTGATATCACGCAAGATATTAATTTGGTTAAGCCTGCATCAATAAGTAACGTCAACAAGAACAATGATAATGGTAAGATATATATAATACAGGGGTCTCCAACTGAGCACCATGTGTTGAACAAGGTCATAAAATCATTTAATTCGCTTGGAAGTTAAGTTAATAAAAAACCGAAACAAGGTGGTAGATAGCAAATTATTAATGTGTTATTATTATTATAGATATATCAACAATACAAACGGGAAGCGGTCGCACATTGCTACAAAAATCGAACCGTGATACTGCTACAGAGAAAGAAGAAGAAGAAGAAGAACAAGAAGAAGAAAGAAATATGATGTTGCAGAACGATCAAGAGCGTGCGGAAGAGGTAGAAAGAGCAGATGTGCAGAACGATCGAGATAGGGTAGAACCGAAAACATTCGATATATCACGAGAAAATCGACGTTATTTTCCACGATTTGACGCTCACGGTCGTGAAATAACAATCGCTGTACGACAACCGACAGAGGATCTGAACCCGTTAATATGGTTGGATGAAGTATTTGCAGAGATTCACGCATATCTTACAGGTTCGTGTAACCCAGACGATTACATAGGGGTGACATTTACAGCAGACGCTTTCGCTCATGGTCCTGTATGGCTGTCTTATCGATATGTACGCGACTTGCAATATATAGATTTGTGGGAATTAGTGAATCGAGCCGCCCAAAGTGCCACCGATTTTTGTATTAACGATAGTTGTACATTAACATGTTGTATAATACGACATATGAGCGGGGGTTCACGAAGAAAATTAACGCATGATAACGTAGCAAAACGGTCGATATTAACAATAACAAATACCGATAACCTTTGCCTACCGCGTTCATTAGTAGCTGCACGGGCGTACGTGGAACGAGGTGAAATCCGCTCGGGCGAATTGCATCGTCGTTGGATGTCAATAAGATTATCTCGGGGAAAGTTACAAAAAGAGGCGGCTCTCGAGCTTGTAAGAAATGCTAAAATAGATATACCAAGCGGGGGATGCTCTGTAGCGGAATTAAAACATTTTCAAAAATACTTAGCAAACGTCGGTATAGCTATTGTCGTGTATGAAGTCGATACATTGGGTCGTGGTGGCGCGGCATTATACGACGGTACAGACTATGTAAAGAATTCATTCAATAGGGTCGTTCATACGCTTCGTATTTTATATTATCCTCGATTACACCATTTTGAGCCAATTTTGAACATGCGAGCTGCTGTAGGAAGCCGCGGATTTTGTCTATCTTGCAATATAGCATATGTTAGAATG